ATAGATATAAATATTGAAATTCAATTCTTTCCCAACTATAATTTGTTCACCACAACACATTTATCTTGTTTGGAGAGATGTCTCTAGTAAAACTATGGCTCACTGGGTCAATCTTCTTTAATTTCATATATCCATTGTTACGATTTACTTTCCTCGTTGTTCCATTTTATTATTTTGTCCTATCTAAATTCCTACCAAACCATACAATATATCCTTGTAACTAGTAGGACAAGAAGATTGACAACCTTCTTGAAACGTTGGGTGCAAGACTGTTTTGTGTTTGGTGTGTAGGTACCAAGGACTTTGGTTGCACATGAAATTCCTACTGGTTCGATAAACCTTGGTTCTCAATCGAGGAAAAATACCTATTGCTAGGTTACTTCACCCTTACACTTGGGGTTTACCCAACCACTCTTACGAGAGAGCAAGGAGGAGTCTAGCTTTGTCTTGTTCTGGCATCATCTTTAGAGAGGGAGAGAGAGAATAGAGGGAGCAAAACTACTATTTATTTCTAATATACACTTCCAGCTCGAAGTAGCACCTGGTTTTCGCAAGTATCACAAAATGCTTCAAAGTATCACTACTACATTCATAGAGTGCTTTTATGTGCTTCATGTTTCATATACCAGTAGAGACTTCATGTTATAGAACTTGGCCTGTATATTCTAGTGACGAGCTTCCTCAAATGCTCTAGGTCTTCACGAGCAAGCAAGTTGGATGCACACTCCACTAGTCCATAGGAGAGCTCACATACATTCATAGCTCTAGTGCATCCTTTGCATGACAATCCCTACTCCTTACATCAACATCGATTATAAGGACTCTCCATTGCCTAATGATCAGTTGCATTGATGTAATACAATCTTCCTTTTTTACTTCTCATTAAATTCTATCACTATTCACTTGTTTTTCATTAAGTGCTAAGGTCTAGACCCACGCTCATGTATAGCATGAGTATCGAGTGGATAATGTAGAAGGGTTGTGTAGTTGTGTACTACATCGGCCTTGGGGCCGATTTATGATAAGATTGTCACTATAAGATGAAGACTGAATAATGTTAAGTCCGTACATAATATTGACATTTTCTCTAAAACTTTGGTAATGGAAACATTGATTTGACGCATTGATTCTTGAAAATAAAGAGCTTGTTTATCTATATGTTTTGTTATTTGCTTCTTATCAACTAAAGAGAATTGCTTTGAATCACATTTCTTTCGAGTTAAACTTTCATGAGACTGAATAAGATAATCATATTCTTGTTAAGGTAGCATTCACAAACAAAAATATTTCTTTTGTCATGTTCATGCCTGAGGACGAGCATGAATTAAGCTTGGGAACATGCATTCCTTGTAACAATATGATCATACGAGTGTATTGTATCCGACAACGATAGCTGCCTTATTACCAGCTTTCGTCTACCTTTACAAGGGGCGGGTGGACTTCCATCATAGGGGACTATCTTTGGAGGCAAGGCTGGTAACCTAGCTCCCCGTAGATCTGACCTACACAATTGTAATCCACATTTTGATTAATAAAGCTTAGTAGGCAGGACATATGATTTTACCCGTCCAGGAGCTTGGCCCTACGTAAAAGCATCGTGTCACCTTGTCGCCATTGAGGTTTCTTCGGACACCTCCCTTCCTTCAACCTTCTTCATGACCTCCAGTAGATCGTAAGATCTTTTTTTTAGAAATGAAGGAGGACCCCCGGCCTCTGCATCTGGACGATGCATACTGCCATTTTATTAATTATTCACACAAGACCTTACAAATCATACGACAGTAAGATTGAAGCCACCGTCTAGGCAATAAACTGTCGCTACTCCTATCCAATTGATGAAGGGATGCTGATAGTCTGGGCCTAATACAAAACAGACCTTGCAGCCAAACCTAAACATCTAAGACCTGAGGTCCCAACCAGGACGGCTGTCGGGTATGGGCATCCACCAGTCCGGCGTGCTCCTCAACCAGGACGCCTGCTGGGTATGAGGCCGCCGGGGCCACCTGCCACCAATCCATCTTCTGAGCTGTACTGCTGCATCTACCTGCCCGGTCTAGCTGCTGCCGACGCCACCATGACACCAGACAGCGTCGACCTCCTGCGCGTGTCCATCGCCACACATCTGACGCCAAGCCTCCGCTGCTCCATGCCGCCAAGAACCTCCGCCATGAATATGTAGAAAGAAACACCGCTCCACCGAAGAAGCCAACCACTGTCCCTCAAGCCCAAGTGCATCTCCAAGGGTGCATTAATCGTTGACATAGATCCTATCAAAATAAGGAAAGATATCCAGATTCGGTTTCAAAATTTATGGCTTATCTGCACTCGGGCCCATTCCTCGCACGTCGCACGTTTGCACTCTATAGTGCTGGAATTTGGTCTATTTTGAACCAGCTCAACAACAATTTTTAGAATTCCTAATAAATCCTAGAGGTCCATTTAACCCATTCATGCAAGGCGGGGGTGGGATTAAATCATTTGGTAAATGATGTAAAAAAATCATTTGGTAATTGCTCACATTTTTTTCCAACATATAGTTCAAACTTATTTCCCTCGCAAGAAAAGAATAGTTCAAGTAGCCTGTTTAGCATAATGGGTCTACCGCATCGAAATCATACTAGGTAATATGCACGAGAATAGTACCAAGCATAATTCATATAGAAGACAAAGCTAATAACAGGTTGAAGCTGCATATGGTACCCCTACGCTTTCTTTCTTTTGCCTGACTAACCCTACTACGGGGTCCAATTTCTTGTGTGTAGCATATTCCTTTCTTAGCCAAGAAAGCCCAAACAAACAAATCCTACCCTCGCAACCTGTTTCCGCGCCATCTCACTGTAGTGTCGAACTAAATCTGGCCTTGCTGCTAGACCCACGAATTTGTCAACATATTGTATACCTTCCTTTTTCTTCTGTCCCTGATAATCTAGCTGAAGTTGCCTATATGTTAGTCTCTAGTCTCTACACCCTGACTCATGCATCCTTTGCAAAAACCCAAGGATGCCCATATGTTAGTCTCTAGTCGCTCAATATGAATATAATCCGTGTTATTAGAGCATCTCTAGCAGACCCCGCATAACGCCCCGACTAGCAAAATAACCGTCAAAATTTGCATTGGCGCGCGCTCGAACAGACCCTGCAAACGCGGCCGACCTGTAAAAGTTTTTGAGGGACGCAGCAAAATCTAAC